AACATTTTTTTTTTTTTTTTTTAGTAGAGGTGCTGGAGAAGGAACACAAGGTCTCATGCATGGCAGGCAACCACTCCATTGCTGAGCCACAACCCAGCCCTCTATATTTGAGTGTTTTAAATTAGGCCTTTAAAAAAATTTGATGAAAATTTAAGTTAGAGTCTGCTTAAAACCCTAATGAAGAAGCACTCCTTCTGCTCTGTCAGCAGCAGGGTGCTGGCAGCACAGTACCTGAAGAGAACATCTTTCCTGCACCTGAGATCACCACAGCCCGGCAGTCAGAGTCTTGAGCTATCTTGTTGAAGCATTCCACCATCTCTCTGTGGAGAAGCACAGAGTGAAGGCCTACATCTGGGGTGCCAACCCCCTGCCCTGATGTCCATCTCTCCCAAGGCCACTCTGACCGGTCCCTCTACCGCTGCCCCTTCCTCCAGGATCTACAGGCCAGACCTCCAGAAGGCCTTGTTCATGGCATTCCTCTTGTCTGGTCGGTTTAGCTGCACATGGAGAATGTGTTTCTCAGCAGGTGTCACCAGAAGGGACTCATAGCTGTGGCCTGAGGCTTCGCAGGGGGCTGCTCTGGAGGCCTGCTCTTGGGCAGCAGAGCCCATGGGGCGAAGGCTAACACTGAAGTCCTGCTGGGCGGGTACTGTGAGTCCTGCAGAGAGAAAGGAAGACCCCCAAATGGGGACATCACATCTTCAAGAGCAGAGGACACACACCTCTGTGACTCTAGGTTGGAGAAGACAAGCCCTCGGAGACCTAGGGTTAGAGGGATACGGGCTGTAAGATTGGGGGACACTTATTGTGGGTCATGACCCAGGACGGAGACAAGCTGTCAGCGACTCCACACTGCGAGGCGCGAGCTTGCAACAGGGGACAGCCCTTCCTCGGGCAGCTCGGACCCTCGGTAACCCCGACAGCCTTCCTGCTTTACGGCTGCTTTGACAGCGCGACGCAGCCATGGACCCCACATAGGTCCGGAGTGACTCACGCCGCATCAGCAGGTGGCGGAGACTGCGAGAAGCCACCATCGCTACTGCCATCGTCGCCGTCCCTGGGACTGGTTCTCCGGAGAACCAACAGGAGGAAGTCAAGGGGCGGGGACAAAGCAGCCTACATTGGGTGAAGGCACGGAAGCCGCAGGCTAATCGGCAATGACGCCTTTCTTTCGCCATCTTTACTAAGGGCAACCGGAAGGAGGGCGCCTGGGGAGGGCCCTTTGCCCCAGTGGGAACCCGGCCTCAGAAAGTTCCGCCCGCGGCCGCGGCTGGGCGAAGTTCGCCGCCGCGCAGCTGGGCCACGTGGGGGAGCGGAGCTGAGCCTCAGTTACATAACCTCAACACAGCCGCCGCAGCCCGGCAAGTGCATATTTGCATGTGTAAATTAATCTAAGAGGAAAAAATTACTTGTAAATTAATCTAAGAGAAAAAAWWWTWMYTTTTTTTTTTTTAACACCTCTTTTGGTGTCTCCAGAAGAGGGTCCAAAGGAGTTTACAGAGAGGGCAACTTGACTCAGGATCAATGAGTCCCTGGCACAAGTCATGGAAGTGAATTTTTCAGCAGGTGTCAATAAAGGCACAGATTTTATAGAAAAGCGAAGGATATGCATGCATTCAAGGAGAGCAGGCAAGGGGCACACGCCTGTAATCTCTGCAACTCGGGAGGCTGAGTCAGGAAGATGGCAGGTTCAAGGTCGGCCTCAGCAATTTAGTGAGACCTTATTTCAAAATAAAAAGGGAGGGTGGATGGGGACGTGGCTCAGTAGTTAAGCAACCCCCTGGGTTCAGTCCCCAGGACCAAAACAATCAGGGGAGGATGCAGGCCATCTGGAGAGTAAGGGCCATCTGGAGAGTGAGGGGAAGGTTTGTAGGGATGACCTCAGTCTGATGGTTTTGGTGGTACCAGCCTTCTCCCGGTCCTTAACTGATAGGCCTCCATTATCTGATCAGTAGGTAACATTGGAAAGTCCCCCAAGTTACAGGCAGCAGGGGCTGCTGCTGCTGCTGCTGCTGCTTCTTAATATTTTTAGCTGTAGATGGACACAATACCTTTATTTTTTTGTGTGGTACTGGGGAATCAAAACCAGTGCTTCACCTGTGCTAAGTGAGCACATGTGAGCCACAGCCCCAGCCCCCCCATAAATATTTTTTAAAAATATCTTTTCTTATTTATTGAGTTTCCTTTTGTCTTAACATTATTTTAAAATTTATATTTTGAGGGGCTGGGGATATAGTTCACTATATAGGATATAGTGCTTGCCTCATATGTAAGGCCCTGGGTTCAATCCCCAGTACCACAAGAAAAAAATTATATTTCGAAATAATCCTTAAATTTTTTTTTTTGAAATTAGATGTGGAAAAAATTTTTATTTTACTTTATTTTAAACATTAAAAAAATTATATACATGATAACAGTGGAATGTATTACACACATTATTACCCATTTATAGCACAAGTTTTCATAACTCTATTGTATATAAAGTATGTTCACGCCAAACATTAAAAAATTTTTCTAATTAGTTATACGTGACAGCAGAATGCTTTTTGTTTTATTGTATACAAATGGACCACAACTTTTCATTTCTCTGGTTGTACATGATGCAGAGTTGCACCACTTGTGCAATCATACAGGGAAAAAAAAATTTTTTAAAGTAGACAAATCACCAGATGTGATGGTGCACACCTGTAATCCCAGCCATTTTGGAGGCTGAGGCAGGAGGATCACAAGTTGGAGACTGCCTCAGCAATTTATCGAGACTCTAAACCACTTGGTGAGACCGTGTCTGAAAATATAAAATATAAAAGGCTGGGGACAAAACTCACTCCTTGGTTCAATCCCAATCCCCAGTACAAAAGAGAAATTGTTTTTTTTTTTTTTTTCACTTTTTTATTGGCATGTTATAGTTGTACATAATGGTGGGATGTGCTGTTACATATTTGTACATATATACAATATTGTTTTTAAAATTTGCATATTTTTATTGGTGCATTATATTTGTATACAACGATTGGAAACATTTGACAGACATGAGTATACTGTCTTTTTTATAAAATCAAGAGTACTTGGATTTATATTTAGCAACTGATGATTTAGTATGTTATAAACAACACAGATCTTTTAAAATATATATTTATAAATATTTATTCTATTTATACTTACCTAATTTATCCATTTTAATAGCTATTTGGAGATTACCCATGAAACCAAGATATCAGACAAGCACAGTTAACATTCCAAAGTTATTATTTTTGTCAAGAAAAACCCTAAAAGCAGCTGAGCACAGGAGCACCCAAAAGCTACTCGGGAGGCTAAAGCAGGAGGATCCCAGTTTTGAGATCTGACATAAAACAAAACTATCTGAAGTATAGCAAGTGAGCTGGGCCCAGGGGCCACTCCTGTAATCCCAGGGATCAGGGGGCAGAGGCAGGAGGATCTTGGGTTCAAGGCCAACCTGGGCAACTTAATGAGAGACCTTAAGCAACTTAATGAGACCCTGTTTCAAAGTAAAAAAATATTTATTTTTCTGAAACCCTCAAAAAATTTTTAAAAAGGGATAGGGATGTAGCTCACCCTATATAGCAGCTGCACTTTTCCAAGGTGTAACTATTTTTAGACAGACAATGGTGGGGGTGGGGTGATCCTCAATTAGAACAAGAGGACAAAGAGAAGGACACTTTTCCTTCAGGACTATATCTATTAAAGAGACAGGTCAATATTGAAATAACTTATTTCCCCAAATATTGAGTACAGAGAATGTGAAAATAAACACAAGAATCAGCGTGACTCAGTCAGAGCACAGGCTCAGGATGCTCCTGACGGTGGCAGCACAGGATGGGCTGGCTTAGCTGCGGCATGGAAACTGGCACTCAGATCATTAAGAGGCTTCCAGAGTAAGAGGCTGCCCCGGAAGACAGATCAGGTCTACTGTGGGGATTACTGRGGTTGGCTGCTTTCTGGTATCACATTTGAAGAACTGAGGGGGAACTCAAAATGCTGGGAGGCCCATCCCTCATGCCGGCTGCTCCCTCCCACCCACCCAGGGCCGGGGCTGGTGGTCTGGAAGTGTCTTCTGTGGCCAGTGTTTCATGAACAAGCCCTAAGCCCTCTCTTCTAAGGGCCCAGAAGGGCTTTAGACAAGGAAGAGAGAACTATCACTTGTTCAAGTCCTATAGCGACTTGAATTGAAAAGTGACACATTTTGCCTTTGGTTTCAAATGGACTTAGGTAGCACCTCACAGCTAGTGACAGCCTAGCTCAACAAGGGCAGACTGGGCCATTCCGCAACTGCAGGGTAAAGCAGAGAGGAAAGGAAAGACTTAAAGCCCTTTGAGCTCCTTCATGGTTTCAGAGTTCTAATACCCTGCCAGACCCCTGGGTGGGTGTCAGCCAGCCCCTATTGCTACTCCAATCTGCATGGCTTGGGGCTTCCCCAGACACCCAACGTRGCAAGTAAGGTGACTCCAGTTTGGCTCTTCAGTCTTTAGAAGTGGAGGAAACAGAGGGAAAGACCAAGAGAGGAGCACCCACGACACACGTCAGAGCCAGGCAGAAGGGGAGGGGCTCAGACTCTCCAAAGTCCAGGCCTCAAGGTTCCCACCTGGGGCGCCAAGAGATGAAGTCATGGGAGAGAAGCAGTTATCACCAGAGAAGGGTCCTCAGAGAGGGAACTGCACTCAGGGGAGTTCCCATATACACGTGATGAAAAAGAAATTTTCAGCAAATGTCAAGAGAGGTACAGATTTATTTAGGAAAGCTGAGAACACACATTCAAGGGAGAAGACAGCTACCTCCAAAGTGAGGGATGTGTTTTTGGGGTTCCTGGCTCTTCTTTTGAATAAAACTTAGGAGTGTGGGCATTGCAAGGTATGTAGGGATATCAAGAGGTATATGTATGAGGTATATGTACACAATGGAATATTAGTCAGCCTTAAAGAATGAAATTATAGCATTTGCAGGTAAATGGATGGGGGTGGAGAATATCATGCTAAGTGAAATAAGCCAAACCCAAAGAACAAAAAGGCCGAATGTTTTCTCTGCTAAGCAGAGGCTGATATATAATTGGGGGGCGGGTTAAAGAAGAACAGAGGAAATTTGGATTGGGCAGGAGAGTGAAGGGAGGGGTGGGGAAGGACGGTAGAGACAGACATTATCACCCAGTATACATGTATGATTACACTACCGGTGTGACTGCACCACGCACAGCCAGAGGAATGAGAAGTTGTGCTCCATTTGTGTTCTATGTGTCAAAATACATTCTACTCTCATGTATGACTGGACTAATTAGAAAAAATTAAAAATAATTTTTAAAAAGATGTTTACAATGGTCTTGTCCTTCTCAGGTCCTTAGGCTGATGTGGTCTCCATTATATGATTAGTAGATTACCATAGAAAGTCCCTTAAATATAAACTTATTAAAATGTCATATCTCTTTAATCTACTTCTTGGTGGGAAAAATTACTTCTTCTTAACAGTAAAAAATGTAGATTTACAGATTTCCCAGGAATTTGGGAGTGACAGGCCTGGAAAAATATAGGAAACTCCTAAATTTAAAAAAAAAAAATATTTTTTTAAGGCTGGGGTTGTGGTTCAGTGGTAGAGCACTTGCCTCCCACATGTGAGGCACTGGGTTCAATCCTCAGCACCACATAAAAATAAATCAATCAAGATGTTGGGTTCATCACTAAAAATAATTGTAAAAAAATACATATTTTTAGTAGTCAATGAACCTTATTTATATATGTGGTTCTGAGAATTGAACCCAGTGCCTCACATGTGCCAGGCAAGCGCTCCACCACTGAGCCACAACCCCAGCCCCGCCCACCTTTTTTTTTTTTTTTTTGAGACAGTCTCACTTAGTTGCTTAGGGCCTTTTAAGTTGGACGCTGGCCCCAATCTTGCAGTCCTCTTGCCTCACTCAGCCTCCCAAGGCACTAGGATTACAGGAGTGCACTACCCTGTCTGGCCAAGACTGGTCCACTTTTTAATTCCCAATTATCTGGTATGTCTGTTAACCTTCTCAGACTTGAGAGTTACTTGTCTGTGTCATTCTTCCCTGAGAAATTTCATCCCTTTAATATTCCAGAGCTGGGGTTGTGGCTCAGTGCTC